GGGGGGGGGGGGGGGGGGGGGGGGGGCTCTGATGGGATCCAGATAGGTCTGGCAGTAGATTCCCCTCAGCCAAATCCTGGGAGACCGTGGGGTCCCGCATTCCCTCCATGTGTGTCAGGACCTGGGATATTATTCCGGCTCCAGGAGGGAAGTGAAGGGGGCTGGAAGGCTGCCAGGAGAACAGAGACAGTGGCTGCGGATATGTCTCAGAACCGGCCGACTGCGACTCCTGGACGTTAAGTGGGGTTTTTAGACCGATGGTGCAAGTGACTGTCCCCCGTGTCGCTTTCCCACCTAGGGGCCCAAGACTCCTGCGCCAGTCACTGTGGGGGCCTCCTCGCCACCTGCTCCTGCCAGGCGAGCTGTGAGAACCTGGGAAGTTGCTGCCCCGATTATTGGAGATTCTGCGGGAAGATCTCGCCCTCCTCCGGCTCCCTGCTTGGTGGGAAAGATCTCACGCTCCTCAACGGGACCTTTGACCCCAGCGTCCCCGTGACCTGCAGGTGAGGCCAGGGAAAGCCTTCTGCCTTGTGACCTCGGGGTGGGGGGAGTTCAGGGTCAGGGTCAGGCCTTGACTTCTCCAACCCAAAAAGTTCTTCAGGGATGCTCAGCCGGAATGTGACGCGGCTGATTGGAAGGCAATGAAAATGTGATGTAGCTGACGGAGGAAGAGATCGGCCTGCCTTAGGACCCCAGACTTCAGGAGCCAGAAGGGACCCCGGAGACCCCTCCCTCTTTCTGGCCCTGACAAAGGTCCCTTCAATCTTTCCTTGAAAACCTCCACTGACGGAGCACCACGTAATGCCAAGGGCCGGGCGATTCCTCGGCAGGATGGCTATCCCCGGAGGTTTTTAAGGAGAGACGGGACACTCACTTGTCTGAAATGGTATAGAATCTCCTGCTCAAGCGGGGGCTGGACTAGAAGACCTCCGAGGCCCCTTCCGGCTCTGTTCGGATTCTGATCCAAGGCCAGGAAATGACTCCTCACTTCCAGTTTGTTCCTCCTTTGGGCAAAGTTTCCACTTGCTTCTTCTGCCTTCCCTTCCAATATTAACATCTCGGCTGGCCTTTCTTCACCCCTTGTGGGGATCTCCCCGGATTAAGGCCAAGCCAGGTCCAAAGTCCTCCTGGCCGTGTCTGAGCCGCTGCTTTCGTTTCTGGCTGCAGTTTCTGCCGGGTCTTTTAAGAAGACAGCTCCCCCCCCCCCCGGAGTCCTTGAGGGTGGTTCAGAACCAGCCTTGAGCAGGTTTCCAAACCCCCCCCCCTTATCCTCAGGGCTTGGGAGGGTTTTTTTTAATGTTATTCTTGCTTTAATTGAGCCATTGTACTCAGGTATGTCAGCTATTCAGCGTTGCTGGTGGTTGGAGCAGCAGATAAGCTTCATAAAACAATAAATAATAAGAGCTGCCAGCCCCCTCCCCCCTGCTCCTCCCCAGGCTGGGCCCCTCCAGCAAGGAACACCACCAAAGAGAGCCAAAGTATAGGCAGAGCAGAGGGGTCAGGCCTGTCTCCTTCCCAGAGGGAGGGCTGATCCCTTCCCATCACCCCTCCTCCAAACTCCCCCCCCCCAAACAATTCTCCCTGGGGACTGGCTGGAAGTGCTGGCTAGGGAAGGAGCCATATTGCTCCTTCCCTAGGAGCCGAGGTGGCGCAGTGGTTAAATGCAGCACTGCAGGCTACTTCAGCTGACTGCAGTTCAGCAGTTCGGCTGTTCAAATCCCACCAGGCTCAGGGTTGACTCAGCCTTCCATCCTTCCGAGGTGGGTGAAATGAGGATCCGGATTGTTGTTGGGGGCAATATGCTGACTCTGTAAACCGCTTAGAGAGGGCTGAAAGCCCTATGAAGTGGTAGATAAGCCTAACTATTGCTATTGCTGTAAATCAGCAATGTTTTAAGCCATAATCATCGCAATGATGACAAACCACGGCTTGAACTGTCTTGCTTTGCATGTAATGAGTCTATCTCATATATTAGTTTCACCTTTTAAGTTGAATTACTGAAATAAATGAACTTTTGCACGATATTCTAATTTTTCGAGTTTCACCTGTAGAAGTATGAAGTGCGATTGCTAACTTGCAAGTCCCAAACCGAGAACTTGCTTCCCTCCCCTGCGGTGGATTCAGGAGGATGCGGTCGTCCTCCAGGCTGACCCTGGCATGGCTGAAATGTACTAACATCCAAAATTAAATCGGAATCCAAGGCGAAGTATTCCTCGAAGTTCCAATTGATTAAGAGAGTCATGTTGGCACATCTGGAAAAACCCGAATCTGAGCTTCCTGGGGTTTCCCCCCACCTAGTTGAAAGGTCTTGCCCCACACCCACAAGCCCATCATCCCACGGCCCAATCTTCCACTGCCATGCTGGCAGTTCCACCCACCCAGTTCCAGTCAGGTGCAGAGGTGCGGAGAGAAAAGGTGACCTTGGATTCTAGAAAGGAATTTTATTTTGACAACATCCATTCTGCTCCTTACTATTCCCCCCTCCCAATTCCCCACTAATGAAACAGCAGAGAAGGCTACAACGTTCGTGTGGGAGGCCAAAGATCCAGAGAGAAGGAACACGACTGCAGGCCTGACATATGTAGGCTGCCAGGTAGCAGAGGCCCAGCACGGCCAATGACGTAGAATCGCTGTCTCTCCTGAAGGCAGGCAGAGCAAGGGGGGTGGGGGGTGTCCGGATGGACGTGGTGTGGACGAAGGGGCGGTTCGGAGAAAAGGGGCTTCCCCCTCTTACGGTGCTCCAGAGGACGTTATGGGGGGAGCCAAACCGGCGGGCGGGAGGTGGGCCCACCTGGAACCAAGAGGCTGCTGGAGCAGAACCTCAAACTACAAGGCGGAAGAGCTTTTCCACTGAACCCTGGAGAAAAGCGATGGAGAGGATCCGGAGGTTTCAAGAATATGGCATGGAAGGAATTCTCAAACTCGGCCGTGCCGTGGCCAGCAGAAACAAGAAATGAACTCATGTGAGACCCCTCTGCATGAAAATCCTCAATTACTAGATGCGGCCCTACCAAAAATCCTAGCTCGTCCATTTGAGCTGAACTGTCCCAAAAGGGGAAGGAAAGACAGGAAGGAAACCGAGGCCTGCAGACTAAACTCTTGTGCAGCGCCCTCCAGTGGCAGCCACCTCCTGCCGAAAGCAGTCCCGGAGGTTTCCTCCTTCTGCTGGGTGGCTGGGAACAAGGGATGATGCCCTGGCAGAATCCAAGAGTGGAGACCTCCCCCAGGCACCATGGACATGGCCTCGAGGGCCCTACGCAGCCTCCTCCTCCTCCTCTGTTTTGTTTCGTTGCAAAAACAAGAGTCTTCCCGAGCTCTGGACCTCAAGGAGCAGAAATGACAAACATGGGAAGTTTCTTTCTCTGAAGATCTGAAGAAGAAATCCTCTCGGCTGCCCAACGGGGCCTCTTCTGCAGATGCTGGTGGGAACCATAAAATAGATGATGATGGTGATGATGATGATGGTGATGATGATGATGATGATGATATGTCCAAGAGCTCGTGCTGAACAGGCCTTTCCATGCCAGAGTTTGCCATCTCCAGGGGAAGGAGGGAAAATTGGGGCTCTTGGTGGGGAAAAGGCCCCCTTGAGGGTCCTGAGGACCCCCGTGGCTGCCACGACCCCCATCTTTGTAGGGAAAGGCCACATCATCGTGGCATCCGAGTTTCCTTGCCAGGTGGGAGCCGAGAGTCTTCCCTGAAGAGTTCAGTTCCTTTGCTGTTGAGAAGCAACTCTAAAGGGCAGGTGAGAAAAAAGCACCTGTCCTTTGGAAGGGGGGGCATCCTTGGAGTGTGCTGTCCCCCCCTGCCCAAAGGGTGATAGGAGAACTGAATTGCTCTCAAGGCCAGAAATAAATTCCTGAGCTAATGCTCAGTTTTAAATATATGCGACTTGTTTCTATTGTGTATTATTACGTTGTATCGTCGTGTTGGCTTCGGCTGATGTTCCTTTACACCATTTAGTTGCCTGAAAGGGTCTATAAATTCAGAAACAAGGTAGAAAGAAAAGGAAGGATAAATAGGCCACAAGACAAACTTTTGAAGGAAGAGAATAAACCTAGCAGGGAAACTCAGGAAACGGCTCCATAGAGAGGGGAAAGGAAAGGAAAACGCCATGGGAAGATGGGGGAACAAAGTGGGAATGTGGGTGTGAGGGGGGGGGAATGCAGGTGAGACGGTCATGGCCAGAGGAAGGGTGGCTTGCATGCCAGGGACCTGGCCCCTTTGTGGCACCCCCCGTGCAGGGGTGAAATTCAGCAGGTTCTGGAGAACCGCTGGTGGAAATTTTGAGTGCTTCCCAGAAGCAGCAAATGCCGCCTCCGGCTGGCCCCAGAGTGGGGAGGGAATGGGGATTTTGCAGTATCCTTCCCCTGCCCTGCCCACCAAGCCCACGGCCACAGAACCGGTAGTAACAAAAATGAATTTCACCGCTGCCCCCGTGGCATTTGTCCTCAACCCCGGCAGGTTCGCCAGGACCACCGAGACCCAGGGATACGTCGGCCGGGATGGCCGGCTGCACTGCATTTCCCCTTTGCTCTACGAAATCGGCCTGGTCAGCCTGGAAGTTTCTGTGGACGGTGGGAAGACATTTCCTTGGTCGGCATCTTGGAGTTCAGGTCAGCCGCTTCTCCTTCCCCTGATTTGCACGTCCTCCTCATTCAGGCAGGGAGCGAAGACGACGCCTGCCTTTCCTCCAGTGGCAACTGCTCTGGAGCGATGGGGGAAAAGCACCTTTTCCTGCTCCCAAATCACCAAACAGCCCAACGGAACGGTTCTGCAATGCGATGCAGGCTGCAGAGATGAGGCTGGGGAAAGAGCAGCTGAACCGGCTTCTTCGCCCCCCTCTCCCCCTGGGCCCTGGCTGCTCCTCAGGCAGCCGCAGTGGTGGGTCTCAAAAAACGTTGGAACCTCTTCTGTAGCTGTGGCCTGCTTTCCGGGTCCACTGGGGGAACCTCTTCTAACCGGTTCGGTAGATTTGACGAACCGGTTCTACCGAATAGGTGCGAACTGGTAGGAACCCACCTCTGGGTAGCAGGGAGGGGCAGGTGGGGGTGGAGGTGACGGGGGGAGGGGTAGAGACACGGCCTCCCCAGTTCCCCCCAGCAAAACAAAATGGGCCGGTGTGTTTAGTGGAGATAATTGTCCTCCTTACCTGGCAACAGGTGAGGGAGCAGAAGCCCATCACCTCCTCTTTCCTTCCCCACCACAGTTCACCACAACAAGGTTCCCCCGTCAGAGAAAAGCACGCTGGTGAATGAAACCAAGTGGCAATACTACGGCACTCCGGGGACGGGGGGACCCCTGACCATCACTTGGAACCCCGAGGTGCTGCGGTCCAGCCACGTTCACCTAGAAGTCTGGGGGTACAACGAGACAGGTAGGTGGCTCTTTCAAGATTTCAAGATGTAATGAATTTGTATGCCGCCCAACCTCGAAGGACTCCGGGTGGCTCCCAATCCTGCAGGCCACGTTCCCATTGCCGGGAAGGCGGATTGGATGGAAAACCAAGGGTGGAAACGAACCACCTGGCGACTGTCATCCGAAGGTCACATTTCTAGCGGACGGAAGGAGGCAGCCGTAGGAGAAACCGGTCGCCTTCTGACCTGGCTTGGGGGCTTCCGAAAGCTCCTCGGTCAACCGAAGCTGGGGCTGCAGAAACAGCTGAGGGCGTTTTCTAGGCGTGTGGGCGGTCACTGACCAGGTTACCCGGTGAGGGAATGGACAGGTGGCGTTAAATCTCTGGTAGAGGAGAGAAGCCTCCATATAGCAAAGGAGGCCTTCAGGGGGGGCCATCCCAAACTCTAACTTCTGCTTCAGAGAAAAAGCGGGTTTTCAAGGAGAGGCCCGGCTGCAGTTCTCCAAATCCCCAGGATGGCGTTTCCACAGATGAGGTGCCACCGTTGGGGAAGCACGGGCCCCCCTGCCCCGCTCTGGGGCGTTTTCCTGCACCCGCCCCCTCAAATCTCATGGGGTGGGAAGCTCTGATCACAGATGGGCGGTTTCACCCATCAGCCGCCCCCCCCCCCGTGCCATGGAAGGCTTCAGAGGGAGAATGAATGCCCCGAATTGCACCGGGAAGCCTCTGGGAAGCCAGTAGCAGCTTGTGATCCGGTGGGGTTACTTTACGTGGTACCCCCAAAACTGTCTCTGCTCTGCTGAAATCTAAACCGATTACAGACCCCCCCAGGCGGCTTCCGACAGCTGCTCCACAGAAAGCGCATTGGGGTAGCCGAAGAGGGCTTCTGCCAGGCAAAGCCAAGGGTGCCAGTCTTAGGGACAGGGGCCTGCCTGCCTGCCTGCCTGCCTGCCTGCCTGCGTGGAAAGTGCAGCTGCCAGGCTTGGGTTCCCGGGAGCCCCCACTGCCCCATCTGCGGCTTTTCTTTTCCCCAGGGGGACATGGGGGGATATGGGGGGGCTGGATCCAGCAGCGTCCTCCCCGCAGTGGTTTTTGGTGCAGCTGGTGGGATCTTTCATCTCTCTCCTTCCTTCCTTCCTTCCTTCCTTCCTTCCTTCCTTCCTTCCTTCCTTCCTTCCTTCCTTCCTTCCTTCCTCCTTTCC